GCATTGCCGGAGTGACCAGAAATTAGGAATTTGTCACTGGCTTTGTACCAGCTGCAGCACTGATCTTCACACAAAAAGAGAAACCCGCCATCGTAAGACAAAGTGAAAACACAACAGCTCTAACGCGCTGTGTTGGTACCAACACACAAAGAAACAGCCAAGCACTGTTCATACACAATGAGAGGAATTGAAAACTGCCCTGCAAACAAACTTGAAACTCTTCAGAGTGTAACTTCTGTTTGGGGGGCTATAAAGCAAATATTCAGAAATAACTCTGCTATTCACAGGCAGAACAGACAGGCAATGGGCTTCACATCTGGCCAAATTCCCAACAAAAACACAGCAAGAACATCTGTCTTGTTTGGACACTTACCAGAGGCATTATTTACATTCATTAACATAGGTCTGCTAAGCACTATAATTAATTAGATAATAATGAATGTAAAGATAGATTCTTCTACTTTATTGTAAGTACAGTAGATCACAATTAAGCATACTACCAAAGAAGAGAGCTAATTCATCCTCTAATTAATTTTATTGTCCTGATCAATAGAAATCATTGAACAAGAAGTGCAGCAGCAGCAGTTTTAACCAGGGTTAAAAGAAAAGTTGGAGGAGATAGCTAAAACCAAAATACCGAGTGGTGATAATTCACTACAAGTTGCTCGAAATGTGCACATTAACACCACGTTCAGCACATACACCAGGTCTGGAGGAGTTGGACACTACAGTGTTAAAAACAAGGAGCTACTGGAACTTAACGTGAAATTAAAATTGGCGTTGCAATAGCAAGGCAGAGGAGCTGCCCGACTCTTTCTGCAAGCCCTGGGAAGCCGCTGGTTGCTGTGCAGAGAAGGGAAGGAGCTACCAGCACAGAACAACCCACAGTCAGTTTTCCTTCTCACCTCATGCCGATTCCTTCAAGCACAGCATCATTTTTTCCAAGCTACCGTAACCAAACGTGCTTTTCGCATGACTCCCAGTTAATCCTCTAAGTACTTCCAACTGGTGGTTTTGTAGCAATGAAATATGGAGTGTGCATTATATGGGTATTAATTATACATCTTGATTTCCTAACGTCCTTTCAATTTTGAAGGAACATGTTTTTGCTTTTTAGCATTTAAACAGACGCAGAAGTAAGTTTTTTTTGTGTAGATTATTGCCCACTAGATTTGGTTTGATTTATTTTCCCTCTAAAGATACGATTTTTAATCTTGTTCAAGTACTAAAAGGTACCCGAACACCTTCTTTGACAATATGCACAATTAGCAATCGCTTTGGAACTAGAAAGACAACCAACTTTAAGCCAAATGCAGAGCTATGTCAAAAAACCTGTGACAACAGTTCAAGAGTCTTGCCAAGCTGATGCAAAGCTACACTGACTTTTAGGGGTTTGGAGGTGGTTTTGTTTGGTGCGGGGATTTGGGGTTTTTTTTTTTGTTGGTTGGTTTGGTTTTTTTGAACAGCACAGGCAGTAGAAACCCATAGCAAAGCACCACCCTAGCGGAGAAAAAGAGAGTCTGAATGGGAACAATTCAGTAGTAGTATTTAACATTTCACTGGATTTGAGACATACAAGTTCAATGGCTTTTAAATATTATCAGGCAGGAGTATAATTCTCTACATCTTGTCACAACATAGGACAAAATGTGGTGAGGTAACAAGAACAGCTGACTTCTGGTAATGAAGACTGGCAATCATCTCAATGGGTCTTCATGAGTCCCTAGGTTTATTTGTGCGGGGGCTGGCAGTTAAAGAAGTGGCAAAGTAAATATCTAGACTGGCATAAACACTAAGGAGCTGTCGTGGTTTAGGCCC